ATTGTATCGAGCATTATTCGCCATTGTTGCCATCTCATTAGGTTTTCTGATTAGTTTAATGAGATTATTTGTTCTGCAATTTAACTGCATTAATTTGTTGAACATTTAATGTCGAATTTGCGGATTATGCGCATTTCTATCATAAACAAAATGCAATACCTGAAAGAAAATGTAACGAATCCGACGAAAACTATGAAAGTACACCGCCACAGAACTACCGCTTTATCCACTAAAATATTATGACGTGCAATTATGCACTTCGTGATATGAACATTTCACGAACCCCGAATTTCGCAAATATTTGATGCGAAATTTTGTTATTCACTTCATAAATGCAACAAATTTCACTACGACTATAATTTGATGGAGTTCTCGACAAACACTCTCTCTTATTCGCATACACATGCAACCAAATATATTAAAATATTAAACACGATTTGTACACGTAAGAAGAATTTACAGCTCATATCCAAATTATGTACTCAGAATGAATCAGGTTAAAGTAATATATGCGGGTGCACTTATCATATGTATGTTATAAAAACCACTAGGTCATTAGTTCGCAACGAGAGAAGTTTTCCGAGAGCTCATTTTCAAGGAATGTAGAGAGAGCATATCGTTGGCTGATGCGGTCGACGTCAAAATCTTATAAAATTATGATTCTCTCCTCAGAAAAATGAGAGAGAGAGAGAGAGAGAGAGTGAATATAGAGCTATAAAAAGCGAACAATATAAATTTTGAACTTGTCTACAAAATGACGAAGCAGGTGAGTGTGTTAGTTCAAACGATAATGCCGCTTAAGAGGCATTAAATATCCATCGAATACATTTTCATGATTGCCGACTACTTTAGCTAATTTAAAACCGCAAAAATATTACTTCATACTCCACCAAAAAGCACGTATAAAATTAAGTTATTATGTATTTATTTGGAAACGAAGAAAGCACGATGCGGAAATGTAGAGAAAGAAGAAAGAGCCTCAACGATTTCCGTTGCCGAAGCGAATATTCAATTTTCGCAAAACGAACTTGATTGAGACCTCGACCGCTGAATTGTACATACACACTCGCGCGCGCCCAAATCGGAATTGATGAGTATCTGTTTTAAATCAAAACGAATAAATTCACTGGTGCAAAAATGAAAATATATCGAAATTTAGGGCTGGGCAAAAAGAGAAGGAAAAAAAATATATGATAGAGTAATAACTAATAACTTCATATGTATGCAGCACTTGAAATATGTAGCGTACGCACGATACAACATAAAAAGTACACACTTTCAATACGGCAAATCCAATCAATGTGGTATTTCACTTAGGCTCCGGCCAAATTACTTACTTTGGCATCAAGAGCAGATGGAAAAAAAGGAATCGAAGAAAATACAACAGCACCGAAAAAAAATATAAGCAAACGGAAAAAACAGCAATATCGTTTAATCATCTGTCTTGTATCTTTGATTAGCTTCGGAAAGTCGTGTTCGCCATATAAAATTGAATGCGATGCAATAAATTCAAGCATGAGAAGCAAACAAACGAACCGGGACAAAAAAAGAAGAAGAAGATCCGAAATGAAAGGAAATCAACGAAATGAGATACGATTATATGGTACATCGTCAGGCCAGCCTTCTATCCAGACCCGGATTGTAAGAGCTTTCTTACGTGTTTGTTGTTTCTTATTTATTTGAAATCATTCTAATAACAAGTTTTCTTAACACACATACACATCTTCTCCAAATCGCCTTCGTCTCCTGCTCTCCTTCGTCCGGCGAAACACCTATAAAACTACGACGATTGAACTAGAACCCGGCACAAGAGATCAAGTGGCTGTTTATCATGACTCGGCACGAAATGCACTGCAAAATTTTCATCTTGATGTTGTTATTTTTTTTTTTTTTTTTTCTTCAAAATTCAGTATTCTTGTTTATTAACTCCGACAAAACTCAATCGAATCATCGTCGCACTGATCATTTGGTATCAGCGAGCAAATAAATTTTCGCAAGTATGTCAACATATATGATGAAATCAAGAACAAATTGCTACTGTTGCTAGCGTACAGTAATGTACGTCGAATCGGAAAAGTGACAAAAATTCCCTGCGGAAAGAAGAAAAATAACGTAAACAATAAAGAAATATCATCAATTTAACGATTGTTTCATCTTCTCTCTTATTTTTTGTGTCTTGAAAAGCGGAAAAAGATGTAAACAAACGGCAAACAACAATGAAAATTGTCATCTTCGGTTTGAAAACATTTATATGTAGAAATGAGGAGACCAATTCTGCACAGTCATATCGGTAAAGCATCTTATAGATGAAGTCAAAATGTTTTGTCTGATATTTTGTCGAATCTAATCTAATTCCATCCATGAAAAATTGTCTCTCTGTAATTTTCATTTTTCTTCTTTTGTCTTTCGAGAAAACGAGCGAATATTAAATAATACATGGTACCAACAGCGACAAAAACCGAATAGCAAACATCTTATCATTGAAGTTGCTGTGTGTGTGTGTGTTGGCGATGCTTATTTTATGGTGAAAAATTATTATAAGAGATGTGCGAGCGCATCATAAATGTTCTGGATTTACCAATGTACTTGAATGCCGTAATTCGCACAAGTGAATGAGAGTCTATAAGTGTGTCTACGTGTTCCAATAAAAAAATATTCATACTTTATGTTAACAAACTTTTAATAAGTGCGTGTGTAGGTGACCCTAGATCTCTCATTCTTTTTGTTTTCATTTTTGCTTCAAAGTGCATATTCTTGCGCTTAAAGTCACTCTTGGTTTTATCTGTTGTATTTATAAATAAGTACTTTCGACATTTTCAGATCAGAAGTTATTATTGTGCATGGATGTTTATACCATAAAAATGCTTAATGATGATACACGCTTTGCACTGCATATAATAAAACACGAAATACATAGAAAAAAAATGAGAAATTACGATCGCCCATTTCGACAAGATATCTTACAATCGACTGACTCGAATAAATCAGTGGCACGTGTTAATTTCATTTTCAATGTATCAGGTATACGTTTTTTTTGCGTCGTCAAGAAACCAAGCCAATTTACATAAATTGGAATGATTCTCGAAACTTTTCAATTTCTACTTTTCGGTTTAATATTTTTCTTTTCACATGTTTCCTTTGAATCGTCCCGATTTTCAATCACAATTTATTTCTGGTCGTTCAACGTTCAAAAAGCGTAAACTTTTCACCGGAAATTGCCTAATATGGCACACAAGTCGATCGAATGTAAAAATGCTGTTTTCCAAAGCAAAAATTACGCAAAAACTTTCCATTCCGTTTTTCTCCCGAGTGTAAACATAGTCAAAAAAAAAAGAGAAGCGAGAAACCAAACAAAAATAACAACATGAATCATATACACAGGAAATAATATGCCAAAATCTTGTTTTGTAATTGACCACTCAGTCGATTCCCCAAGAGAAAAAACCGACAACTTGAAAACCAAACGAAACTTTTGCATATGTACCGTTTTCTATGGCAGCTTAGCGAGAGACATCACATTTACATATGAATATAGTCGAATCTCGAATGACATAGACACATACACACACAAATGAAACAAAGTTGGAGAGGCGGCACCGAACGAATGTAATGCGCACAGTACGAAATATGTTTTTTTGGTGAAAAGTTTTTTCGGTCGTAGAATACCAACAAATCGTTAGTCGAGCAGTATATAATGCCGTAAGTATATTTTACGGGTGTTTCATCTTCAAAATTTTATGACGATTTTCTTCACCAACAAATTCACATGAAAAATGCGACAACTTCAACAAACCAGTGAAAAGGAAAAATAAGTATGAGAGACCATCACAGAAACGGTTTCATATTCAAATAAACATTATTGAGAAGAATGGCACGGAAAAAAAATTGGAATGAAAATCGTTGATGTATGAAATTAGAAAATATTACTGAAAAATTAGAATACACTTATACATTCATATCTTCGTTTACGTATATTTACAGCTTTGTAAAAAGGAAGAAAGAGAATATTTTCGACTATAGCCATTCGAATGGAGTCTAGTTGATGGGAAACGAAAGACGACCAAAACTTTGTTGTGCCAAAGATGTTTTGCTTGTTATTGTGACAGTGAAATCAAAATCTTGCATGATATTCAATAGACCGTGGATTGGTATTTGTTGTTATGAAAAGTTTGATGGAATGACAACAACAAGAGCGACGACGACACATCAAAAACCGATGCAAAAAAAAGTTCATTCAAAAAAGATTGTGAGCGTTGAAGCATATACAGTTGGTAAAGATTCACCACATTTCTCTAGAGCCTGTGCCATCTTTATCTTGTATTTATGCGAGAGAGTGTGAGAGAGAATGAACAAATGTAGAAAATTCACATGAAAAAAATCAAATTTAAAATAAAGTTTACTTGACAATTTTTTGTTTAGATGAATCCAACGAAAGCGTCGACAAACATCGACATCCTGGCAAAAAGAACGATAGCAACAGATATTTTCGTGTATATTCCATTCACCATACTGAACCTACACTAATATTCTCTCTTGCAATGAACGTGTAGTTAGTTTCATTTATTGATATTTATATACTGTTTATGTTCAAATTCACTGGTGCGACCTCCCACCACATATATTCATGACTTCGAACTATCGAATCATGAGGCACAATCCGCCAAGTTCTGTTCAATAAAATCGATCAATTTTTGTCATGGTTTTGTGCCCAAATTTCCGTTCTCCGTTGAACGCGAGCGTTAGCAGAGCGTGCATTTTTAATAAGCAATTTGTAAATGTAATCAGAATCTGTACAGAATTTCGCGTGGGATTTTAAGAAAACTAAGCACTTACGAAGTCAATTTTATGGAGATTATACATTTTTGGTAGCTTATGAATTGCACCAGAGATTTCCACGAAATATATGTACTTTCTCTGTTTGTGAATTGCACGGATTTTCTGTAAAATGAACACGGTTTTACAGAGTCTAACTTTACGTAGTGCCGAATATGAAAAAAAAATTGTTATTGAGAATATTTTTGCATTTATTCATATTACATTACAGCATATTTTATTCAAAAAATAAATACTTTTTCTTCATTTATTTCGTGGAGCGGCCAAAAATACGCCAAGAAATTCATCTATTTTTTCTGTTTTTTCACTGGTTTCACTGGTCTTCTATTACGTAAATATCTTCCGCGCATTCCTATTATATAGTCTGCGAAATCCAACGTTTTACTATTGTATAGTATAATGCGATTTCTCAAATCTTGTAGGTATTCAACGAACGTTTTTGTTTTTGCAGGTATTTTGAGCGTGATTTCCATTAATTTTATCATATATGTTGCTTCTTCATTGGAATATTCAGTTGTTTGCATGAATTGTTCGTAAAATGAATTTCCAGAAGCAATATCTGCTTCAATACCCTCCGATCTCAGTTTAAACATTGCTTTCAATTTCTCCTTGATTTCAATACGAAGATTTTCGTAAGATTGTCTATTTTGAACTACGTTCACTTCAACTGTTTGCACGTTTTCTCTCTGAGCCGGATTCTGCTTCCATGCCACAAATGAATCGTGTAACAATTTGTCAGTTTTAGCAGGCACATTCATACTTTCCACACTTGATTCGGAAATATTTTTCAGTTGATTATTTATAAAAGGTATTTCTTTGTCGAAAAAATTTCGAATGTTCACTTTATTCTTCGGCACTTTTTTAACTAATTTATTAATTTTTGCGTCGTTTAAAAATGTCGGGAAAGGGGCTAGAAGAGTTTTAATGGTTTTTTCGATGTTATCTAAATTACGGATGAAATTTAACTCTGATCTCATTTCGATATTCAGTGAGTCTGCTTTTTCGTAAAAGGTTTCCAGAATGGTAGAAAGTGACACCTCAGCGCTATTTATCAACTAAATTCACAAATGAAAGTATTCTTAATTGAATATGAAGGTTTTTTTAAAGAATATAAATGTGTACCTGAATGCACAGTAAAAGAGACAGGAATGACGACCACATTTTCATTCAAGTTTCAGTTGAAGACAAATTAAACTCTATGCGAAAGTAATTTTAAATAGTCTTCTTATATACACAAAGAAGTTTGTATAAAAAGTGAGCCTTTTATGTGTTTGCCTCTCTCACTCGCATTGAAATCCACAATATAGACGTTTCACTCAGTGTACATTGTACAAGGTTCTTTACACGTGTTACACACGTCCTAGAATCTATAACGATATCTGTTTGTGAAACTTAATTCCTTTTTTTGGAGGCATTTATTATTTTATTCATAATTTTTTAATTTTTATTACAAAACACTTGTGATCCTATATCAGTTATATTTGTCTTACCAGTAAACATCCCCAGCGTTCGGAAAAATTTTCTCAAAATTCCCA